TCTACAACTAAGTATTATATTATGTCTGTTTCAATTATTTTTTAGATACACGTACTTGAATAAACTGATTTAATCAAAAAGTAAACTCTTTTCTTCTTTGTTATAAGTGTATTGTTCTTTTTTGCTTTATTGGTTAATTAGAATGAGTGTTTTTTAGTTTTGTATTAAAAATTGGTGAAAATGTATCTTATATTTTCCCTTTTTAATTAATAATGGTTGATAATACTTAAACAGTTCATTTTAATAAATAGCTGTTATATTCTTTATTTTTAGTTTCTATCTAAAATAAAAGCGGAAAAAAGGAATTGAACCTTCATTATACCGTCATGAATGGTATGTTTTAACCTTTTAAACTATTTCTGCCCTTCTTTTATCTTAACACAAAATAAAGGGGGGGGTGTTAGAATAACTATAGAACTAATATTGTAAATACTGATTTAATATAAAAATTATTAGGTATAATATAGGGATTTTTTACTTTTCATCCTACAGTCTCTTCTTCTACTTACTTTTTAATATGAGCCTTGTTTTGGAAGCCGTAAACAAGAATATCACAAGAAAAATATACAATACTATACTACTGGCCACTGCATCTTTTTTCTAAACCAACTTCACATTTCCGGAAGTGGAAAGAGGGGGTGGGAGAATAAAGGTGTTGAGTAGTAGAGTATAAAGATTATAATAGAAATATGGGTTAACACAAACTAAAGGTGTTAATTTATCCTCATTTCCTAAATAAAAATAAGTTTATAATTAACTTTCTCTTAAACAATCACAAATTAAATTTCAAGTAATAATAGTATTTATTACTAATAAAACTTTGATTTTTTCTATTTTAAAATCTCCATCAAATGATATGACTTTTATATTTAAATATACCTAGTATCTTTCTAAATTATACCTTATTTAACTTTAAATTCTATAAAATAAAAATAAAATTTGTTTAATATTTAAATTAAAGTATAATCCCAGTTTTAGGTACCCAAACACTCTTTTAAAAAGGATATCTGATATTTAATAAAAAGAATATTTTTAACCCTTTGTAATTAATAAAAAGAAAAATAAAATTTGATAGACTAAGGTTAATTTAAGCCTTTTATCTCCATATTATTACCATTTTTCCCTAGGATTGCAATACAATAGCTTCGTTATTAAAATATAAAAATAAATTTAAACTTTTCACCTACTGCTCCTAAGTATAATACCCTTACTGAACCTAAAAACTAAATATCATTAAAAATAAACAAAATTAAAAAACTAAAAGTGGTAGTATTAGTTTAATCGGTTAAAATGACGTCTTGTGGCGACGATGTTCAGAGTTCGAGTCTCTGATTTTACCCAAATTATTAAAGATATTATTCAAAAAAGACTCATTAAATTAAGAAGCTATTTAAACTTTCTTATTTTTTTTTGTAATTTGATCTAATAATTATTTTTTATTATTCTTCATTTTTATTTTACTTGATCATTCTCATTTTTATTTGTCTATTACATTAAAACTATCATATAAATATAAAAGAGTGATATTTTACTAATTATTTGTAATAATATCATAAAAATAGAGGAGATATTTCTCCTCTGACAAATTTAAGTCTATACTAGTCTTAATTTTGGTTATCTTTGACTTAGAAGGTGAGATTCATAATCTCAAATAGTTTCGGTGTGTCCTAGCACCTCGACTTAATTTTTTCCTTTTAGCTAGTTAGCTTCAGGTTAAGGCTGGAGTCCATTTAAGTGTTTCTTATTATCACTATTTTTAATTCATTATTATAAGCTTTAGTTCATTCAGGGCTTTCAGTTATTTAGTGTAATAAGAATTACCCATATTTATATATATGAATTTATGTCTATTTTCTTAATGAAAGGATTCAAGGGAGTCTGGAATCGAGGGGTTTTAGACTAGAATATTTTTGGGGTGTATAAGTTAAGTTAAGTCATTTAATTTGATGAACTAAAACATAATGTTCCTTATGCTCTGATTATATTGACTGGCAATGTAGGAAGAAAATCCCTATTAGTTGCACATCCTTATCCTTTAATTTATTTAATCTAAGTTTGAATTAAGAAAAAGAATATTGGAGTTACATATAAATATTGGACCATTTCAATGGCTTCTAAATTTTTTTTTTTCCGTAAAAAATAGCTACTACAATGATGTCAATTTTTTTTAGATTCTTAAAAAGAATCTTTGTCCCTATATTTAATATATTAAAATACTTTGGATGTTTTATTATTAATAAAAAATACTTCTCTATTTATCAAATTTATAGTAATAATACTAAGTTATTTATTGGTATTATTTATATTTTATTAGCTATAATATTCTACTTCTTTATATCTAATATAACGGTTTTAGATGCAATACAAATATTAATATTTACTATTATTTCTTTTGCTTTTTCTACATATATTTCAGATAAATTTAAATACTCTAATATTCTATATATTAAAATTCTACAAAAATTTGTTTTTATTTTTATTAAGTTTTGTCTAGCTGGTTTATTTATTTGTTTATTTAATATATACATATTCAATAGTTCAATATTTTGTGATTCAGATGATGAAGAAACTACAGAAGAATTAGATACAACGGATGAAGAGGAAAATAATAACAAGAATAATAAGGAGATAAATTAAGATGTTACTCATAAAGGTAAAGGTAAAGAAGTTGTACGTGTTTCAACTAGTACAGATGATAAAGAAGAGGAATATTATGACTTTTCTGTTAAAAAATCTACTTTTGATTCTGGTGTGAACACTTTAAAAGAAGGTGTAAAAGCTTTAGTAACTGATTTAGCTCCAAATATTGGTATAGGTGCTGCAGCAGGTAAAGCAGCCAGTGAAGTTATAAAACAAACTTCTGGTATGGCTCCTGTGCCTAGGGCTGGTATGATATTACTCGCTACCACCGCGGCAGCTTTAGGAACTGGTATAGGTATAAGCGCTGTTGAAGCAGTGAGAAAAAATTCTTCTGTGTTAGAAAATTCGCCTATTTCAAGTTCAAGTGCAAGTGGAAGTACTGAAATCATTAATAATAATAAAGGTGTAAAATCAAATTCTGAAGCTGCACAATCTGAAGGAGTAAATGCTGAAGGGTCAATTCTTGAAGAAGAAATATCACTTACTAATATGGGTATAAGCTTTATTATACCTTCAATCTTAGATGATAGTGAAATACCTTTAATTATTTTGGTTAATAGTTTACACATTTTAAATTATCTTGAATTTAGTTTAATTTTCAGTTTGTTTTCTCTATTATTTAGAAAATATTTTTATATCAAATTAAATAGAATTTTAGTCAAACTTTTAAATAATAAAGATGCAGTTACTTTAACTAAAGTATCTCATTTTATGGATAAATATACAGAATATATCATTTTATATTTATTTATATGTTTAATATGGCTAAAATTTATACACACTTATATTAGTATTAATTTAGTTGGAGATATTGATAGTTATGTAACAGTATATAATAGTATTAAAGACAATTGCTTTTTGTTATTATTTACTATAAAACAGAATAAACAAAGTAAATTTATGACACTCCTTAAATTTAACAAACTAAAAAAGAAAAAGCCCACTAGATTTAATAAATGAAATAAATTTATTTGATAATTGGAGTAATAACTATTAAATTTTGTTGAAAACTATGTTACCTTCTTAAAACCCTGCATATTATATTTATTGTAATGCTAATTATAATTATGTTTTATTTTTATAAACCAAAATTAACTGCCCCCCACCTCCCCTTTTCTTTATTTTAAATATCAACACCCTCATCCATTTTTATGTTAGGTTAATATAATTTGTATCACAAAAATATTAGGACAAAATCTCTAGGGTATTCGCCAGCCTAAACTATATTAGTAAATCAAAAGGATCGTGGAGATATTTAAAAATGTCTCTACTATCTACTTTCTATTTAAACTATTTTAATTAAGAATATGCTTTCTAAAATATCTACGGTTGGTTTATATTCTTCTGCTTTTTCTAATGGACTATAAACTTCTATTGAAAATCAGGTAAAGGTCTTTTATCTTTATCTACCTAAAGATCTCTTATAATAGAAGAGATATCTTCCTTTATTTTTAATATTTTTAGCCTCTCCAGTTCGTTTTAAATTTTGTTATGTATTTTTATGATCTTTTTTAAAATATATCTATCTATCAAAAAAAAAGGGCTGAATTGACTATTTTTATATAATAGATCTTATTTTAGGTATAGAAGACAAAATTTGATTTTTCACATGGGCCTTTAGAGTGAGAATATTTATTGGATTAGAAAGGACCCGATAGCTTTCTTACTCCTTTTTGTGTTTTATAAAATTATTCCCTCTATATTTAAAAGAGATATAGTTGGCGATTTTGTTTAATTTTGACATATTAACAGATAAATAAAAAGAAGAACAATTTTATTGCTTTACAACCTAAAAAATAGATTGATTAATCTAGATTTAATGTAAAGAAAAAATATAAAGGAAAATAGCTAATCGAACACTGAAATAAAAAAAATTTAGCTCACCATTTTATTCGTTTACAAGCTAAATAAATAGATTGTATCTTCTAGAAAAATATTATAAAGAAAAAAAGATGCAAAAAGAAAATATGTTTAAATATAGTGAATAATTCACTAATAAGAACTTGAATTGAACAAGTATTTTTAACATGGCTATGCTAATGTTCTACCGTTGAACTATCCTATTTTTAAGGGGGGTATTCCATTTTAGATTGTGCATATATTTTAATAGCCTTAGTGTCTACAGCTACATCTGATTTAACGATTAGATCTCTTTTATTTTCAGTTTTTTTAAGGTTATACAACTGTTTCTTCATTTCGATTACTGCATTTGCAGGATCTCGAAACCATTTCACATGATTTAGTAATAATTCAGAATCTTTTTTTAATAATTCTTTCATATTATTAAATGAAATCGAAGAAGAGTCTTTATAACCTTTAACTTTACAGATAAAATGACTATCTTCAGTTTTATAGGCATAGATTTTAGGAGCTAAGAAAATAGCTTCTTGAATATTACTTTCTAATTTAAATTGACCTAATTTATCACCCACTAATGCATCCTCTAATTTCTTATCAACGAAAATAGAATCAGTATCAGTATAATAAAGGTTATATTTAGGGTTGTTTTTAAAGTTAGACATTAATATTCGTGCATAAGCGGTGACTGCTGATGAAATTCCTATGGAAACTTTATGATCTTTTTCTAATTGACTCGAATCTGTGTAATCAACAAATAAAGAATTAGGATTAAATTGAATATAATCATTAATTAGATATTTTTCAGATAATTTCATAAATTCTCCCCAATTACAAAAAGCATATTGATTATTAATAGGTTTCATAGCAAATCTTCCATACAAACTATTCATTAATAGTTTAGCAATATAATTCATCGGATCCTTTTTTGAATATTCTAATCTTAGGGAATACATTTCTTCTACATAATTTTTAAAAATTTGAGTAGAATTAAAAACGTATCCATTTTTAATTAGAATATCGTAGTCCTTTAATGAATTAAAGTACTCTACAGAGTTTATCTTCATAGAAAATGATCCATTAGGAGCAACTGTTCGCATTCCCCCATTAGTTTTATGATGTATTTGTAAATACGGTTGATATAAATCCTTTAATGTATTTACATCTGAATCCGCAAACCAATACATTTCTTTACTTAATAGAGTTATATCACCATCAAATTGAATAATATTTCCAGTAGGAAATATATTATCTTTCATAACTGAAGGATAAAGTGAATTAACATCATAACAGAATAGGTTTTTACCATGTGGTTTGTACATTTCTGTACTCCCACCTGTAAAGCTTTCCTGAATAAAGTTAAATATTTTACCGTTAGTTAGTGGAATCGTGTTTTCTGGCATATAGCCACTTCTATAAATAGCAAAGGCTAATGAAGGAATGGTAGGGTATTTATCAATAGATATTGACCACTTATCAAAGACTAAAGTTCTAAATTTAATTAGAACTTGATATAATGAGATACAATCGGTTTCACAATATAATTTAATTTTATCCTGCCAGATGTTAAAATCTTCTATTTTTTCAATTTGTTTTGAATAATGACTTAAATCTGACATAAAATATGGAGAATTAGGGTCACCAACAAATACAGGTTCTATTCCTTTCGGAGTTTCAACCTTAAATTGAGCAGATAGTTTACTTAAAGAGGATGGTAATAGTAAGTAAGAGTCTCTAAATGTCACTGAAATATTTTTGGTGTTATTATAGATCTTGATACTAATAAATTTATTATCTTTTTTGATAATTTTTATTTTAAATTCATCTTTTTGTAAATCTGGAATATATTTTAATAAGAAGATTATATCAAACATACTTAAATTATGAGCATAGATTGTATATCCATCGTACTTTCTTCTTAATATATAATTAAATAATTCTGATGGGTTATCTGAGAAGAAAGATTTTGTGTTTTTTCCATCATAAATTGAGAATAAATATGGAGTGTGTATTCCATTTACTACTTTAGTTTCTATGTCGATAGTTATTATCTTAGGGTCTTTAAATAATTGTTTTTTAATTTTTGTTAAAAATTTTGTTTTTAGATCTTCTTTTGTTGTTAATGCGATTTTATCATTGGTTTTGATGTAATATTTAATTAAAAAGGGGTCTGAATTCATTTCTCGAATGAATAGTTCATCATTGAATTTATAATCTGTAAATCTGATTATTTCTTTTGATCCTTTTTTTAGTTTAATTTTTATTTTGTTTGCGATTTTTATGATGAATGTTCCTAAGTCTGATGTTATTATTTTTAATTCTGGGTTATTAATTTCTAAATTGCCCCATGAATTGTAGTTCATGTTTAATGGTAATCTGGATTTGATAGTACCATTTGTGAAGCTTTCTAGTTTGATAGGTTGAAGAAGTTTTATTTCTGACCACTTGTTGATATAGTAGGCTTCTCTAGAGGGATCAATTTCAAAGAAATTAAATTCAATTTCTGAAACTAAATCTACATGATAATCATTAGATTTTCTAGATAGGATGTTAATACAGTATTTAATATATTGAGATAATGATTCTCTACTTACAACAATACCTTTATGTAATGTTTTATATCCAGATTCTTTATATTTCAGTTTTAATAATAAGAAGAATTTTTTATTTTTTGATATATAAGTTTTAAAGAAAGAAGAAATTGCTAGTGTCAATAAGGCATCTGTTAAAACAGATCGAATTGAATAAGCAACTATTGAGAAACCTGATTTATTCAGGTTTACTCTAGAGGGTTTTAAATTTTTCATTTGTTTGTATAAAAATGATGGTTTAATAGCCTAGTACGTTATCTTAGAAAAAGATTAACATTATGACTATTTTCCTACCCCCAATAGCACAGATAACAAATGACATCTTACTTTAATTTATAGAAAATTGTATCTATAAAAATGCTTATTGATAATTGTG